GGATAAATGGTGACCATTGGCGCAAATATGCCTTATCTGAAAGGTGATAGTTTCGGAAATACAGGGTGTTGAAAGTTAAAATTTGACTCCGTTTTTTACGATTAGGTTAGGAACTTGAAAAACTGGGAAACTATATTTTTTTAAGAGACAAATATGCGTGTTGCAATTTCTGCGTTACTCATAGAGGGTGTCACTTAAGACAAATTTCACCGACATTTAGTTAATAACTTTTTACCCTGTATGTCTAACATGAAACTTGATTCAAAACCTGAAAGAGCAATCATTTTTCCATTAATTATGTATTCTTGTTTCATTTATATATCTCGATCAGTTTTCGAGAAAAATCGATTTAACGAATATTATGTTTTGATAATACGAGAAATTAAAAGCGAAACAAACCATATGTTTTAAAAATAATTGATCGAAGAATCCACCGTTGACACTGATACATTCACTTTACAGCGTTTTCTGAGAGATTTCCGAGTTTGAAACAACGTATTGGGATAGCGCCTGACTTCGTTGGCAGCGATTTGAATTCTTGCCAAAACTCTTCACGCGATTCAATAGATTTTTTGTAAACTATATCTTTCGAAACCAAATAGAAGAATCGAGAGGATTGAAGTCCGGACTTCTGGGTGGCCAAGCAAAATTGCTTCCACGGCTAATCTAACGATTTTTAAAAACTACACCTATCTACATGTCTCTTCTTAAATAAAGTGGAACTTCTTCAAGCCATTCGGCCAAATTTTGTTGAAGAAAATTTAAATACAGTTGGTTACTTAAATTGGGAGGAAGTTCAAAAGGTCCAACAAGAAAATTGGCAATTACATCTCACCAAACATTCAGCTTTCACACCATGCGGATTCCCATAATTCCAAAAATAATTATTTCGTCAGTAAATCTCTCCACGGCGAGTAAACGTGACTCATCAGTAAATAAGATTTTCTCCAAAAAAGTAGGATAGTTGGTTTCCTGTTTTTGTAGAAAATGGACAAAATGTAAACGGACAGGAAGATCTTTTGTACGGGACTAAAATGAAATGGATATAATTTCTCCTTAGGCTGACTAATGCGCGTTGCTGTACATAAAAGACGAGTACTCATACCTGAATTTCCGGTCTTTCTAATCAAAACTTCCTCTTCCTGCTCAACCAAAATACTTTTTGGGGCGCTGTTATTACATTTCGGACCGAAAGATCNACACTGATACATTTACTTTACAGCGTTTTCTGAGAGATTTCCGAGTTTGAAACAACGTATTGGGATAGCGCCTGACTACGTTGGCAGCGATTTGAATTCTTGCCAAAACTCTTCACGCGATTCAATAGATTTTTTGTAAACTATATCTTTCGAAACCAAATAGAAGAATCGAGAGGATTGAAGTCCGGACTTCTGGGTGGCCAAGCAAAATTGCTTCCACAGCTAATCCAACGATTTGGAAAAACTACACCTCTTCTTAAATAAAGTGGAACTTCTTCAAGCCATTCGGCCAAATTTTGTTGAAGAAAATTTCAATACAGTTGGTTACTTAAATTGGGAGGAAGTTCAAAAGGTCCAACAAGAAAATTGGCAATTACATCTCACCAAACATTCAGCTTTCACACCATGCGAATTCCCATAATCCCAAAAATAATTATTTCGTCAGTAAATCTCTCCACGGCGAGTAAACGTGACTCATCAGTAAATAAGATTTTCTCCAAAAAAGTAGGATAGTTGGTTTCCTGTTTTTGTAGAAAATGGACAAAATGTAAACGGACAGGAAGATCTTTTGTACGGGACTAAAATGAAATGGATATAATTTCTCCTTAGGCTGACTAATGCGCGTTGCTGTACATAAAAGACGAGTACTCATACCTGAATTTCCGGTCTTTCTAATCAAAACTTCCTCTTCCTGCTCAACCAAAATACTTTTTGGGGCGCTGTTATTACATTTCGGACCGAAAGATCCTCTTTCGCCTAAGCGATTGTACAAATAGTATTTGATTTCGGATTTCCCATTGTTATTGAATCACCTTGTATATTTACTGATTAGCTAAAATCTGCCGTTAGAAATAGTACCTATCTAAAATTTTTTCTTAAACATAGTATATTGTCAATAATTCCGTTTTTAATTGTTAGTTTCTGGAGAGGAAGACGGCGTATTCTACAAAAAGTGCGAGGAAGAGTACGTAGCAATATTAGAAGAAGTTAATATGTACAAAGATGATGGATTCGACCTGGTATTTTCCTACACTTTCCCAAAATGCGATCTAGACGGCAGTTACCAAGCCGTGCAGGAAAATTCGACTCAGTAAGCTCATGCCTAACATATTTTTGACTCTCTTTACCGCTTATAATGTACTTTTTAGCAAAATATGCGTAGACAAAGAAGGAAGCGTTCTTACCGCCGTGGACAAGATAGAAAATAAAACTTTAGCGGATGCAATGGACTGCAGTAAGCTTTTAGCGTTAATAAATTTTGTGTAGTGCCTTTTTACTAAACATTATCTTGAATAAGTTAGTCACGAGTTAAATTATATTCTTTTCAGACTGTTTGAGGGCAAACCTCATAATCACATCCGTGGAGAAACCTACATGTGAAGTGAATGGAAATTATTCTCCAATACAATGCAGAAGAGGAACATGCAGATGCGTCGATAACAATGGAAACCAAGTTTGCAAAAGCTCTGTGTGTGAAGTAGCAGAAATAGACAGAGATACTTTGAAATGTTGATATACTACAGTTAATTTAAAACATAATAAATTGGATTTTATAACTTATATTTATCTTAAACTTTTTACAAAACATATGTTATTGTGCGTCTGTACACGATAGTTACATGACTATATTAAACAGTCCGTTTTTATCTGTTTTTTTTTTAGAGATAACCATCTTTGTGTTTAAAACAGCCTGGTTTCAAGTTTTATATCGTTCAGATTGTGTGTTATTAGTCTCACCATGATATAAAGACTGGAAGATATGATATTCTCGTGAACTAAAATCGGTTCGTTGAGCGCATGACGTCACGTGGAGAGTGATTTATGTGGTTGATAAATAAAATTATTTGTGCATTCTGATTCATACATTAAAAATACTTACACTGGAAAAACTTTATTCAAATAATTTCGATACTTCATATTTACTAATGTATCCGTAAAAAAAAAATATTAAATATCAACAATAATTTGAAAATAATGAATAACAATTTGGCGTTTCGAAATAGTTCATCATTACCTTTTGGATTTTTTTAAGAAATTTATTTTAATAATTTAAATAAAAAGCCCACCATTTGGAAGAAACATATGAATGATATTTTTGCATTTGACCTTACACATTAAAGATTTCAATATTTTTCTGGATTCTGGACAAAATTACATTTCTTTAGAAATGCGTGTTTACAGCAAACCAGCTGACACTAAGAGATATCAATTTTAATTTGAATCATTATATTGATATACAAACAGATATAATTATGTAAATGTTTACATAATAGAGAAAAACTTTTTCAAAAGATAATTATTAATAATGAATTGAAATTTATTTAAAAAAATTGCTAATAAACGATCAGCACCCCGGGAATTTTGAAGGTAAAACAAATTTTATTAAACTACGAAGAGAAATTACATCCGCAATAAAATTAAGGAAAATAGGTAACAAATTTGACATTAGAACATTTTTCAGGTAACTGGTACTTATGGATTTTTTGGTTAAAGATGCACAAAAATTAGTAACCCAAATTCAAAATTTTATATTTATAGCACACCTTGTGAATTGCATTAATTGTGATTACATTGGAATTGATGAGCACAAAGATTACACTAAAAAAGGGAATTTGAGGAATAAAAAATTTGCGGTCATGCTTGGTTGGCACGGTCATATAATTCAGTGGAGTCAAATTTTGGAGAAGAAAAATAGAATCGTTAAAAGAAAATTAAAATTTTATTGGTGAAAGATATATTTCAAATTACTGTGAATTTAGACCCCTGTTAGCTACATAATAAAAGAAAAAGTAAGTAATAATTAAAGGGCGGAATATATGCACGTCAATTCAGTTAAAATATGCGCATATATATGCATCGTTTTTCTCTGAAATATGCAACAATATGCATTTATTTGTCAAAATATGCAATTATATGCCTTGAATATAACATGGAAAAATGGAAATAAAGAAACGCCGACTCTTACAAAAATTATTTATTTTAAGTAAAATTAAAAGAAAAACATAATAGGTAAAATTTTCAACCTGAAATAGTATAAAATGCATTTATAACGATATATTTTTCAAAATTTTCCAATAAAAATGTTTGCCTTCTGTCTGTAAAAATATGTTTGTACAAAGAAAAAGTTCTTTCAACATCTACCGATGTGATCTGGCAATATTTTAATTTGGGTAGTAAGTTATAAGGCCAAGGTATTACTTCGTTGGATGGTTTACTATCAAAAATATTTTTGACTTCCATTAAATACTTAAAGCCTTCATTCTTTCCCACAATAACTTCGAGTTTCCTTCTTACTTGATTTCCTACATCACCGGGAACTTTTTTGCATTTGTCGGAAAAAGTTTCAACAATATTAATTGATTCTCTTAAACTTATATTCCTACTTTCTAACGAAGTTATTATATCTGGTACAAAACTAAAATTAACCTTAATAAAAACAAGTTCCTTAGCTAAATTTACATTTTTGAATAATGCTTGACTTTGCACTACACACTGCGAATTGTCTTCTAAATTTAAAACTATGTCTTTAATGGCTTCAAAATGGTCTGCGTAGAATATCGCGGCCTTAATCCATGTTCCCCATCGAGTAATTACGGGCTCTGGAGGTAAACTAACTCCTGGCAATTTCTCTCTATAGATCTGCACTCTTAGAGGTGCTTTCAAAAACACTTTCTTTACATTTGAAATTAATTTGTTCACCAAGGGATATGCTGTTCTAATAGTTTCTGCAACTCTGTTTATCCCGTGTAAAAGACAAGTGACATGTACCATATTGGGATAAAATATTTTTAAGTTTTGGCCTACTTTAACCATATACGGCGCTGCGTAAGACAAAAACACTAAAAACTTCTCTACTGGAACTGGATTTGGTAAAAAAATTTTGATAGAGACTGCTGAATAAATCGAGTTACGGTCACATTATTTGTTTTGTCTAACTGTTTAGAAGATATTAAATATGGTTTCCCTGGCTCATTTTCTTGAAGCCCTCCAATCATAAGATGTGCGATATATCGACCACATGAGTCTGTGCTTTCATCAACAATAATATAAAAATGTTCATCGCCCAGTGAAACTTTAATTTCTCCCATTACGGTTTCGTATACTGTTTGCACATTCTTCTTTCTAAGTGTGGATTCGTCAGGGATGTTTTGATTACAATATTTTTGCAAAAAATCTCTGAATTGTGTATTTTGCAGTTTCTTCAAAGGTATATTTGCTGCGACTAAAGCTTTGCATAAGTCTTGATGAAACACCTCCTTTTCACTCTTTGGTTTGACATTTTGAAATGCGGTTTGCACACACTGCTGAACAGGCACAGATTTATTTTTCTGCAACTTAGCTTTATGCATAGCTGTTTTCAAGTGTTGATCAATTTGGAACTTCTTTTCACAAACAATGATTTTGGCACAAACTTTGCAAAACACTTTATCCCCACTAAACTCCAACTCAGGAAAATTTTTAATCCACGAAGCGGCTTTCGGCATTTTAGGCGTTTGAAATAAAATATTTTCGAAATCACTCTTTTCACACTGGAATCTATCGACAAACTAAACTATACAATATAAATACAAAAGAATAGACCACATCTGCTCTCCATTAGGCAAGCTGATTACTTGGAAATTCCTAAACACCCAATAAATGCCGGCAATAAACCATATAATAATAAAACGGGTGAGCCGACAAAACCTACCCACCTTTTAAATTATTTAAATTATCTGCAAGGGTCGCACTTAATCTTTTGATAAAACGAAAAACATAAAAATATGCACACAAATTTTATTTTTGCCAAAATATGCAATTTTTTATGAAATTTGTTAAAATATGCAAAATATGCAAATATATGCACTTTGCATATATTCCGCCCTTTAGTAATAATAGAATAAACAACATATTGCATCTATAGCTATGGAAACAGGAAAAAGTTATGGAAAAGTTGAATACAGGGTGATTCACAACTTATCCAAAAAATTTAGGAGTAGATGTGTCATGAAAAATGGAGTCAATATGGTAAAAACAAATTTTGTAAAATCCTTATAGTTAACGAGAAAAAAAATATTGTAGTATTTTCCACCTTTAGTCTCTAGCGCCATTCGCGCTGTGCGCGAAGCGCTCTTCCTCTCTCTCTCTCTCTCTCTCTCTC